ATGACATTTCCCCCACCCCCCCTTTTTTTTAGAGTCATGCATCTGCATTTCACGCCCAAATAAATCAAACGGGACAGATAAAATATGCATGGGCAAACAAGCAGAGGCGACGGTCAGGCAGAGTGATGCCTGTCACGCCCAACGCCGGATACTTATCAACGAACGAAGCTTTTTTTCTTTTTTTTCCTTTTATTAATTTCCATTTTTTTTTACTTTTCTATTTTTTTGGTTTGTTTTGTTTTCTTTTCATTTATCTTTTTTTATTTTCTTGTCTTTTTTTTTCCTTTATTCCGTTATTTTCTTTATTTTCTTTTATTCTTTCTTTTTCCCCGTCTTGGAAAACGCGTCATTTTTTTTTCAATAAGTACTTCTTTTTTTTAAGTTATAAACAGAATGGATGAAAGGTAAATAGATAAATAGATGGATCAACAAATATATAAATAATTAAATAAACAATGATAATGAGTAACAACGACAGCAATAGCAATAATAAAAAATAATAATAATAACAAAATCATTATTATTAATCATCATCATCACCATCATCATTATTACTATTATCATTATCATCATTACTAATACCGCTGTTAATACTAAAATAATAATTATAATTATTATTATTACTATCATTATTATTATTATTATTACTATTATTATTATCATTATCGTATACATATCTTCATTATTATTACTATCATTATTAACATCATCTATCATTATCATCACCATAACCAAAAACAACATAAAAAAAAGAAAGAAAGAAAGAAAAAAAATACAAAACGTTTCCTGGACCCGACCTCTCTCCCACACTTTCCCTCCCCCTCCCCCCCCTCCCCCTTCTCCCCCCCCCACTTTCCCAAACTCCGGGACATCTTCGAGAAATAAACAAGAAGGACTCCCGACGATGCCAAGCCCCTCCCCTCCCCTCCCCTCCCCTCCCCCTTTCCGGCCATACCCTCATACCCCTCCCCCCCTAACCCCCACCTCTAACGTGAGAATCGCAACAGGGGGTTTGGGGGTGGGGGGTGGGGGTGAGGGGGAATAGGTTCCTTAAACGAGATTCAGGGGGTAGGTGGGTGGGGGTGGGGGGAGGGGGGTGGGGGGTTGAGTAAGAGAGGTAGGGTTAGGGTGAGGGGGAGAGGGGGGAGGGGTAAGGGTGAAGGGGGGGAGGGGTGGGGGACAAGGTATTAGGGAATTTACAGGTACGCTAAGGATACGGAAATGGGCTTTATATTTATTCATAGAGGGGGGGGAGGGTAGGGGGGAGGGGTGACGGCAGCGGCGGGGGTGGAGGTGGGGGGGGGGCGGTGGGAAGGGGGGTAGGGGGGTAGGGGGTGTATTGGTACAAATAAGGGAAGAAGGGAAAGGAGGAAAAAGGGGGTGTGTGTACAAATAAGGCACAAATAAGGGAAGTGGAACGACACGGATAGGAGGGAAAGAGGAGAGGGGGGGAGAGGGGGGAGGAGGGGAGAGAGAGAAAGAGAGAAAGAGAGAGAAAGAGAGAGAAAGAGAGAGAAAGAGAGAGAGAGAGAGAGAGAGAGAGAGAGAGAGAGAGAGAGAGAGAGAGAGAGAGAGAGAGAGAGAGAGAGAGAGAGAGAGAGAGAGGGGAGAGAGGAGGGGAGAGGGGAGAGAGGAGGGGAGAGGGGGAGAGGGGGGGATGTGTGGGTACAAATGACTGAGTAGGTACGACGGAATCTCGACATTAATATGGTCGCATCAGGCGTGGGCGACACAGAACACCCGCCGTGACGACCCACCGCCGAGCTCTCTTCGTTGGGGGGGGGGGGGGGGGGTTCTTGGAATAGGTAGAGATACTGGTTGGATTTATTCCTTTTAAATATATATATATATTTTTTGCATTTGTTTTTCTTCTTTATTTTCTCTCTGTCTCTGTTTCTCAGTTTCTCAGATTCTCTGTCTCTCTTTCTCTCTCCCCCCACCCTCTCTCTCTCTTTCTCTCTCTCTCTCTCTCTCTCTCTCTCTCTCTCTCTCTCTCTCTCTCTCTCTCTCTCTCTCTCTCTCTCTCTCTCTCTCTCTCTCTCATCCGCCAATTATTCTTGTTAAAGAAATGTTCTGAAATATCGCATCGTTTTGGTAAAATGTGGGAACAAATATTCATGATCGATAATTAATAATCGGTGATGATGATTGATGATGATAATGATGATGCTGATACTGATGTTGATTATTATAATTGTCATAATTATCGTTATTATTACCATAGTTATCATTATTGTCATTATCAATATTGTTATCACTATTTCATGATCATATTGATTAATATTGTCCTTATTATCTCTATGCTATTATTATTATCATTATATCTATCATCATTATTATTATCACGACTATTACCACTATTTTATTGTTATCATTATCATTATTATTATTATTATTATTATTATTATTATTATTATTATCATCATCATCATCATTATTATTATTTTCCTCATCATTATTATTTTCATCATCATCATTATTATTATTTTCATCATCATTATTATTTTCCTCATCATCATTATTATCACCATTATCAGCATCATCCTCATCCTCCTTCCTAACGCAACATCTAAACAGAGCGAAACCACCGCGGGACTAAAA